TTCCACAGGTAGGGACAACTACATGCTATCCATTGAATAGCTTTCTTATGTGACTGTAATTTCAGACTGAGTTCAATGAATTTTTAAGCCATGTTGAGGATGTTTTCAAGAATAATTTTTATATTGCTTCTGCCAATACACCCTCCCCTTCCTGACCCATTAGCCTTCATAAGAGAAATGTTTGGTTTAGTTTTTTGGTTTTAAGTGTAAATATAGTATGAATCTAAATACCAACTTATTTAAAGCCAGGCTCATGCCTATGCTTTTAGGGAATTCTTTTGTCTGCACAGAGACCTGTCCAAGAGAGAAGCTTTCATGTTGTCTGCACAGAGACCTATCCAAGAGAGAAGTTTTCTTGGTCTTCATGTGCTAGTGGGTTTTTATTTTACCAAGAACAGAGATGAAATTTTCAGTTATTTATATTCACTCCCACCTGTGGCAGCCAAGTCTTGTATCCATGTTCTGGAGAACCAATAAACCATGTATCAGTGACTTCCAGAGGAAGTCTTTTCAATACGACCAAGACAGACCCAACAGCTCCTTTGTCTCATGTTTTAAGTCCATTAATGTCTTGAGCTCAACTCTACCCTTAGAAATAGTAGTCATGGTATAACCAACATTGCTAGTTTTTGTAGTGTCTTCCAATTTTCTGTTCTAGCACACTGCTTACACCAAGTGTACCTTAGAGAGTCACATCTAAAAATTATTTTTATCAAATTATTCCCAAACTATTTTTATCAGAAACATTCTATGTTCTGATGGCAAGACTTTTCCATGGGGAAACTAATGTTAAATCACTAGGATTTAACATTAAGCAGAATCCCACTTACTGTACTTATGGAATCTATGAATTACTGAGTATGAAAGTCACTGAAATGGGAAAAAATACTTGTGGGAAGATGAATAAGAAACTGTTTAGCCATCGTTCACTCAAGAAAAAAGAAAAGCAGGACCAAACTCTACCTGAGGTGTCCATTAGTGAAGAACTTTCACCAGGATTCATCTACACAGGGACAGAATCCTGAACTTTACTTTGGTAAAGAGAATAAGAAAACTTGGTAACTCCCTCTGCCCCATCGGACAGCTCACTACTATCTTCCAAAAGGGACAAATCAAATCTCCATTACATCAGTGTGTAAGGGTGTTCAAAGATGTCACTTTGCCTTTGTGCTTTTTGATTGCTACAGTGGTGGGAACAGGCAAGTTGAGATAGTCTTCTGTAAGTCCTAGGAGACTGTGTAATTCCAGCATCTTGAAGGAACAGCAGAGTCATTTACTAAATGCACCAGCCCTGACCATAGCAAGTGCACTGAGCTCCTACAGACAGTACAGTGAGCTGGGTTGTGTTGAGAAGCCCTTACGTCTTTGATCTTGAGCACATGACAGGGATTTTACTGAATTCGGGTAGGAGAGGAGAGAATGAAGTCAGAGAAAAAAAAACAGAAGAAAATTGTTTTCTTAACAAAGTAATATTTTCAACTGCCTCCACAAATACTTTTTGTGTGAAAATATTTATATGAAAAAGCAGTACACATTCTGTTGCACTTGGTCATCACTACCATTAATTGGTTTTGACACAAATGGAACTTGACAATCAACTGGCAGTCTGTAGGCTCAGGGTTATGTACAATTCCCTGATCAGAGCATTTGTAATGCAGGCAATGTAGTACTTGAAATGATACAATGATACCTCATTTCAGTTGCTACACATCTATTTGAAAGAGCACAGAATACATAGGTAAAGAAAAATAAATACACTGCGATAAATAATCAAAACTAATACAAAGAATAAACACAACCATTTTATAATGCATTGACTTACAAATGAACAGTTTTTAAGTATAAAAATTGCATTTCTATAAAGCTGTCTAGAAACAAATGAAATTCAATCACATTAGAAACAAGTCAGAGCCACATGTGAACAGCATCACAGTCTACACACTTTAAAGAATATGCCTCTGAGGTTCATGTGCTAGGATGAAGCTGTCCAGGGTTTCTCAGTTGAACCTCCTGCTTTGGGCAGTTGCTCAAAGAACTGACCTAGCAGGTTCCATCAGACTCCACTTTGGCTGCTGTCAGACAAACTACAATCCCAAGTGGATCAAGTGCAAGAATGAGGTAAAGAGATACAATACTGGGAGAGTCGCTGTTGGCACAAGACTTACACAAATACTTTCCAAACAGTTGATAGATCAGACAGGCTAGTCAGTACTGACAGAAATAGCAGCAGGACATTAAAGAACACAGAAAACCTGCACACACCAACAAAAGCACCAATCTCCCCTCTTTCTCTCACTTCAGGCTTAGGGTTTTATGCAGAAATATCATTCACCCTTTTCAATACTTTAAAACTTCCCTTTGGACTGTACTGTTCCCCATCTTACAAAATGCCACATGGTAGAGATTCCTTAACTAGCATTTTAGTTACCTCCCCAAAAGATGTTACACGTGGCACTTATTTAAGCTTACATTCACTCAAACCATGTGACAATACCTTAATTATCAGCCAGGGGTTTGGACCTAAAAAGTAAGTATGTGGCCTTCTCAACTGTCCCAAGCTTGTTTGTCTTCCATTGCACTAGGTATTATAGATATCAGGCACAGGTCCTGTGTACAAATGAGACTGCAGTGACTGCCATGCTGTTCAATGGCTGAAGTGGATGAGCCATCCCTTACCTGTTACATATTATCCTCCAAACAGAAGGATGACAACAAAAAAAAAAAAAAAAAAAAAAAAAAAAAAAAAAAAAAAAAAACTGAAGTTATCTCTGCATTGCCTCCATGAGAGTCCAAGCAATCTGTCATGGTTCAGAACAGTCAAGGAGGCAAACAAGAAAAAACACTTTAAAAAAAAGAGGTAAGTGGAATTTTCATCTCTTCCAATAAAGAACAAGGCACCTTGCTCTAACTACCTGTACACAATGCACTGTACACTCTTGTTCACTACCACTACCCCATCCGTCCTATTTTAACATACAGAAAATAGTATTCTACAGTTCAATAGCAGATATGGCAGTGGAGGAGAAGCATGGTTAGTTTTGCTATATAAAATCATATTTCCATGCACTTAACTTATGCATTAAATTTATTATGTACATAAAAATAAAGTATATTAAATACTGATCTAATTTTAAGTTGACTTTTCTCCTTTAATTTTATATCAACTAAGTATTGAAAATAAACCTAAAGTCTTCAAATGGAAAGAAATTAGATTAGAATAGTACTTACTTGACTATTTACTAGAAACCAAATTTTTGCCAAGATGTTAAAAAGGGGAAAGGCTAGGAAAAATAATTCCTATAGATAAATATAATTTGATTGAACTGGACCCTCTTCTCAATGACTTTTTTCCCCACCCTCCTATTTATTGCAAGTATTATTAAGAAAGGAAATATATTATCTCATGGAACAATTAGGTACTATTAGGAGTCCAATTAGAAACTGGTTTTGAAACATTTCTAAAAGCCAAGGCAGATTAATTCTTCAAGCCTTCCCTCTAGCCAAACAACCCAGTAAAACTCAGTAGTTCAATTTAGAGGAGGGAGGGGTACTACACAGAGCACAGACACAGAGCCTTCCCTTGCCACTACTCTGAGCTTGATTTATTTCTTGAGCACTCCATGCATCTGATTACAAGGGAAGGAAATGCATGGGCAGAAGAGAAGCTGCATCTCAGCTCTAGCAGGAAGATAACAGCCACCACAGAACCACGGCTCTTTTGAGTAAAGATGTCAGAGGGCAGGAAAAAGGGAGGGCAGAAAGGTCTCCCATCACTTCAGTTCTGTGATGGCCTCAGCCTTGGTTGACAGCTAACTAAGTTACAAAGATGAAATAATAACATTTATAAAGAATGGATTGTCACAATAAAATCTGCCTTTGTGCAAGGTTTGTAGCAGCCTCATGCAGTACTGGAGGGCAGATTCTGAACCTCTGCTACCACTGAGCCTCCTGATAGCAGTTAATGCAGAGAAAGGGTTATCTAAACAGTCACAGGAATATATTACATATCCCTTCTTAAAATGACAGAAACATCTTGAATTTCACAAACCTGTAGTCACTATTCTGACTCAACACGAGGGTTATGTATAAGATTAACTTTAGGCATTTTTCATATATATGGAATCTAATTTTATGAGTTTATTCTAATATATGTAAGGGTAGGAGAGGAGGTGGAGAGATGTTTTTAAAGAAGCTGGCTTTCCTTGATACTGACACCAGATTGAGTAGGGAGAAATTTATAACAATACAATTCTTTAGAGGATTAAGGGAGATGGAAACAAAATCAAATCTTTCATCCCTTGATACCAACTTTCATCAATTTTCACCAAAAGCACACCAGTAAAAAAACAAGCATACATGCTTTCTAGTTATTATTAAAGTGGTTCCAGAGGCAGAGAACCCCTTGATATGGAAACTAAACAACACAGACCTAAAGTCAGCTTCACATTACCTTGTAATGGCAAGACAAAGCACTTTGGGGTTCAGAAAAACAAAGAACATGGCTAAAGGAACCCTTGAAGAAGTTATCCTGGAAGTACTACAGGCTGACCAAAACCATTTTTGGTTTGTTTACACCTGTCCTGTGAAACCCCTACTACCTTTTGAATTGCAGCATGTGCTTTGAGAACCTTGGCAGTCGTAGCCTCATCAGCCATGATTTATTACCTACAGCTTTAAGTCTAATAAGGGTAATGGAGACAGACTCCTGCTGTGTGCTGCTCTCACTACAGAACAATTAGGAAATGTGGTAGTTCTCAGTCCCACAGTGCAGAAGTCACAGAAATTAAAGGAAAAAATAAAAGACAACAGAGACCAAGAGAGTTCAAATGACTCCCCAACTACTGCCTCCTCCTCCTCCCCCTCCTCCTCCCCTTCCTCCTCTCCCTCCTCCTCCTCTTCCTCCTCTCCTCCTCCTCCTCCTCCTCCTCCTTCTTCTTGTTCTTCTCCTCTTCCTCTTCTTCTTCTTTTTTTAAAAAGTTGTATCTATAGCCAGATCTCTAGAATTTCTAGACCCACAAGAGTATGGTAGCCAATGTTTCTTAGATGACAAAAACAAATGCTTAACAATGAAGACTCTTTCTGTACTCCAAGGATACTCAGGAGTAATGTAGCTTTGCCCTCACCTTTTTCCGGCCAGCAGTCTCATTTCTAAAAGTATTATGGAGGACCAGAGAGAAGTCCTCTGGTTGACCCTTTGGCCCACAAGAATATCAACTCTTTTTCCACCTAAATCCCCACAGAGATCCTTGTACCATTGTGGCTGAGTGCTGTTCCTGACTCTCTTTAGGATACAGAGGTTAACAAACATGTGACCACAGAACCAGAGATCATCTTTTAAGAGTGAACATTGCTCTTTCAGGAAAAAAAAAAAAAAGTAAGTTAAAAACTAAGGATTTGGCTTAAAGTACAGACCAGAGGGAAGCAGATGTATGTTTCTGGCCTGTATTTTCAGAGATGGCATCATGAAACCTGTGGTCCCTTGTTTGCATGCTGACTTTTGCGCTGCCTCAAAGAGTCTTCCACCACCTCCTGTGTGTCAGCTGAGTGAGCTTCATCAGCTTCAAGTTCCTCCAGGGATACACTGCCTTCCTGCAGTACTCCTTGATCATTGGTGTCACTTCTCTCCTCATCCATGCTGCCTGCCAGGTTGTCCTCTTCCTCGTATTCCTCTGCTTCATCCTCATCGCCAAGGTCCTCTTTCTCTTCCTCATCATCCACAAGGCTGTCTTTGTTTTCTTCTTCATTTGAGTCATCCTTTTCTTCCTCTGCATCCTGCAGCTGCTCAGCTCCTTGTACCTCCTCAGGCCTCTGCTCCTGCTCTATGTACAGAAGAGAGAAAGAAAAACTAAACCCTCTGAATAAACAATGGCAATTTAGTAATTAGCTCACTGTTTAACCGAGCGATGGATAAATAAGGAGGTTTCTCCCCAGAAGTGATGGTATCATATGAACAGGTTTTCTGGTTGCAGCTTAGCCCCATCTGGAGATTTAATTATCTCCCTACAGGAGCATCACTGAATTGATGGCAGAGCAGTTGGGAGTGGAAGGCAAAGTTTTGCTTGTGCTATATATTATATACAGTGCAAAAGACTCAGTGACTCACTGGTCATAGCAACTATTTCAGACAAGCTGAACCAATCAGAGTCCTTCTCCCCAAGAGTTTGAGGTAAAGTCAGGAAGAAAAGGCCCCCTCTTACCACAAAGTAAAGAGGATAAAATATGAGTTGGGAATAGTTATAGCTACTGAATGAACCTTAGCAACATAACATCGCTTGGGCTAGGCTTGAAGCCAGAGAACACTGCAGCAGTTTATACACTGGCTTCCTTTCTTACACCATAATGCTGAAGGTTGGACATGTCATCTAGCTATCTATGAAGTCTTAAAAACTTCAAGAACTAAAGACCTTATTTAAACTCCTGAGAAAATTCTACATTAAGAATAAAGGCCATCAAATTCACAGCCAGTTAGGCCCAGAAATAAATACAATAAATGCAGATTTGGGCAAACTGTTGTTAAAGGACTTGAGATAGTGACAAACTGTTGCAGACTCAAGGAATGTGAGTTCCTCTAGGAATCATTCCTTCCAATTCAAGAATAAAAGTTGTCCACTGAAAAATGACAGGAGTAAGCCCAAAAAGAAAATACCATCTTCAATATGAAGTATTTTCTAATTTTTAAGAGGAAAGTAAATTTTATTCAAATTTATATGGAGAATACATCATTAAGGAACTCAATAGAGGTGATTGGTGCGAAAGGTAAAGGCAGAGCCACAGAATACCACAAAACTCTAAAAACCATGTGAACTTCTTGGACTCACCAGAGCGTTCAGATGAAACTCTTGGAAGAGGTACATAGAAGCATTCTGAGATCACCACTAGGATCTGGAGGGAACAAAATGACTCCACAATGAGTAGATAAGACAAACTGCCAACTAGCCTCAAACATCAGATATGCGTCCCATAACCAGATATCCTTAGACAGACACTTAGCAGCTGGCCAAAGCCTTCAGAAAGATACAGTTGAGTTGAAGAGTACTCCAGGGTATGCCCATATATAAGAAAGCTGTAAAATATATACCTGATCCTCAAACAGAGCCATGTGAAAAATAGCATATAATAAAATAGTTTAACTGTCGGGAGGCTTCAATCAAGAACACCAAGCTAACAAATTTGTTTCAGTTACCTTTTAAAATTTGGAAAAAGATAATAAATACTACAGCCATACTTATATGAAGCAATGACTTTAGACACTTCTGAAAATGGCTGCTATTTCCATTCAACTCCATGAAGACTCCCAAGAGGGAAGAGGCCTAATTTCACAGGGCTGCAAGCCTGGGCTATGTTTTCAGCCCCAGACAACGGCAAAGGTTCCAATGTGCTAAACTCCACTCCTGTAGGTCTCACCTTTAGTCTGATGCTGTTCATCAGAAAGGCCAAAGTTACAAAGCCTCCGTGGGGACAGGCACCCAGTGATCAAACAAAGCAACACAAGGTTTTCCTTTGAGTACTCAGCTACTTCTTCCCCCGTTCTGGAAATCATCTCAGATTTATTCTCTGAACTACCCACTTAGTTTTGATTTGGTTTGTAAGACTACCCAAAATCTCTTCAGAGCCTTGCAGATATGTCTCATTGTTTAGGGAGGATATGGGCAGCTGCTCCCTGCACCAATCAGAACCAGACTAAAAGATCTCTGTCCAGAATTATCTTCCCTTTATCTTAATGTTCTATACAAAGCAGCAATTTGTTATGCAGGTAAGATATAAAGACAACTCTGAAATACTTTTTCTATAATAATAGAAGATAACAAAATGGTATTCTGAAACAGGTAATTTAAAGTGAAATAAGAACTTGACCATTTCAAATTGTATAATAATAAAAGCTGTAGTTTTTAAAGTATATGACAAAACAATGATCATTAAAAGCAAATTTAATATTCTTTAAAACTATAGAAAAGAAAGTATGAACAGAAAGGTAAATGTTATTTTTTTGGAAATTTATTAATAGGTTATTTTATTGAAGTTATCTTCCCAATTTTGCATCCAGAAATCACAGTGTATCAGTCAATCACTTGACCAGGCTTTAGTCAAGTCTTTTCTATCTTTAACCAAGCATTTGATAACCCTCCTAAGTATTATTTCAGTCTAATTTTCCAAACAAACTGTATGCATGGGCATGAATCTAAAACTCTTTCAATTGAGCAGAGTTTTCACTGGTTTCCCATATCCACCTATACTGGTAATGTCTTCACCTTTGATTTACCCAAGATCTTTCTCATACTGTTTCCCTTAAATGATCCCATACTCATGTAGTTTACAAACACATTGGTTAAAAAACAAAAACAAAACAAAAGAAAGAAAAACTAGTACTAAACAAAAGGCAGGAGAAGAACAGAACCAGCATTCTATTTCTGTACAGTCAAATTCCATTAAACCATGGCAAGTGGGCCATGTTAGCTAGCAATAAAATTAATAAAACAAGACATAGCTGGGAACTAAATTATGATCCATATAGGCAGCCATTTTCCAACCCACTGCTAAAGTTAACATCAGAAGCCAAACTCAAGGATATGCTATAGTGTGTATAAAAAACAGTCAAGAAGGAGGTCAAGCCTTCAGTTTTCTGGAGTTACTGTCTTTATATCATGCTGTGACTTTACTATAATATCAATTACCAGCCATTTTAGATTTTTTTAAGACCTTGCTAGAGAGCCGAATTTCATTATAAAATATAAATAGCCTTACAGAGAGTCTACTCTTTTATCTAGAGGTTTCAAAAATCATCAAATATTTCTACCATAAAATATTTAGAAACTATATAGTTGGGGGCTAGAGAGATGGCTCAGCAGTTAAGAGCACTGCTTGCTCTTCCAAGGGCCCTGAGTTCAATTTCCAGCAGCCACATAGTGGCTCACAACCACCTGTAATGAGATTTGGTGCCCTCTTCTGGCAGAACACTTAACAAATACTTAATAAATCTTTTTTATTTTTAAAGAAACTACATAATAACTAACAAAACTTCTCAAAAAGTGTATTATTTTAATTTGTTTAAAATGCAATAAAAAATTTTGTGCTGAAGGGACCAGGTGGGACAGAACCTCTGTCTACACATGGCATCCCCAAAGTGGGGCAAGAATTTCTACCTTAAACCTGGCAAAAGCTTAAAAGGGGATTCTAAAAATAAAAGAACAGAGGCAGGCATGGCTTCTTGGTAGCAGCATTTTCTTGGGTTGTCTCTGTTTTGCTAGAGGCAAGCAGAGGCTTGAGGCTCCTTTAAGAGAGGTTTCCTGACTGCACTAGTGGAAAAAATCACACTATCAAACAATTAAGTGGTGTTTATGAGCAGCCAGTGGCATGCTTCTTGGTGGTGACATGAACCTAGAAACTCCTCCATGAAGCCTAGACTCTCAGAGAGTCAAGGAATAGGGAGGGTCCAGCTACTACTTTAATTTTAGCATGCCGTTTAGCAGGTAAGAATCATGTGGTCAGAAAAAGATAGAGATACATAGTAAAAGACTGATTCAGAGGAAGAAAACCTCTAAATGGTCTACAGTTTATTTAAAAATATACATAGGCTTGGGAGAGAAAAGAAAAAGGATAGATAAAGTCCTTAAAAAAGAAATAGAGAAGCTCGGTGTGATGGTACATGACTTTAAACCCAGCACTTGAGAGGCAGAGGCAGGTGGATTGCTGTGATTTCAAGGCCAGCCTAATTACAGAGTGAATTCTAGGACAGCCAGAGTTACACAGAGAAACTCTGTCTCAAAAAAAAAAAAAAAACAAACAAAAAGAAATAAATAAAGAAATAAATAAAAATAAAAGAAATAGAGTAATAAAAACGCCACATAAAGATGGAAAAAACACAGTCTGCATACTGTGTATTATTGTGTTGTCTTTGAATTGTTTGATTGCTGAGGAAAGAGCAATAGCTGCTAAAAGGCATCTGATTATAAATGCTGTTGGATTAATACAACCTACATATTTTAAAAATCCCTTGACTTTGAAATTTAAGTCTAAGGACATGTCACTTTTGAAAAGAGGTTTTGTTTCTGTTCCCACAGAAACAAAATTTGATTTAATCAAGCAAGACTTCCTGAATCAGTGGCCCAGGTGATCCAACATCCAACACAGCTGACTTACAGACTACTACAGCCAGGATTTGGCCAGGTTCCTGGGTTTTCTAAGGATACCCTTGGGATTGACAGCTCCCCCAAACAGCAGGAAGCAGTTTGGAGAGAACTATGTCCACATTTCCAAATACTGTTTATAAATGTTTATTTTCATTTAAATGGGGTTGGTTAGAAATGCTTAATGATGACAGTTAATTTATTTCTAAAGAAAAAAAAAGGGAGTATGATATAGAAACATATACTTTGCATAGGAATGAATTTTGGTTTATTGATGAAAATTTAAGGTTAATTTTGTTATATGTATATTTCTACCCTTGTTTAGGTACTGCATTTATACAGCTCTTTTAAAAATGTAATGCATAATTAAATACAGATTATAGATAGTCACCTATAATAGTCAAAACTTAGGTTTTCTAGATACGCAGAGATATATTTCAAATGGATAGGTATTCTTCAAAATTCTTCAAAGACCTACAGAATATGGCATTTAAAATGGTTTTATTAGGGTTTTTCATGACTGAGACACAACTGCTTTGGCAAAACCAATTACGTCAGAGAGGATGATGGGCATTGAAGAAACCTGTTATGGACTTTGCCTTTTACATGGAAATAGTAGCCACTTGGGCAAGAAACTGCTCTTGCCTAGACTGACTATATGCTGTATAAACTGGACATGCAGGACCCACAGGAAAGTGACTGCTAAACTTGCCAAAGCAAGATGGGACAGTCCTTTAGGGTCTCTGTTTTATGGAAGAGTCTGCCAGACATTCTGCAGGACACAGAGAAAAATGACTGACAAACTGCCAATACAAGTGGGACAGTTTCAAATTTCCTGCTTCACTGAGAAGTCTGCCAGATACTCTAGGCCTACAGGCTGATGATGGATGCCCCAATGTTACAGAAGAACTTTTGGTGACTGTCCAGGCAGTGAGATGTCTCTATCAATTTTAGAGTTTATATATTATCCTTCTGAGGTCTTTGATGGAGTTGAAGACATAGTTATGGTTATGGTTTTTCCTTAGCTATGATAAAAGATAAGTTACATATAAAACTTTAGACTCCAAAGATAGGATATATGACAGAATATTGTCTTTAAATTTTGCCAAATGTTAGTGAACTAAATATTGTTAATTATAGTTCTTGTTTGATAACTGTTATATTATATATAACAATATATAATTATAATATGTTAAAGTTAAAACCTTTCTTTTTATGTAGACAGAAAAGAGGAGATGATAGGGGATGTCCTTCTGTATGCTGTTAATATATGTTTCTCATATTGGTTGAAGAATAAAACACTGATTGACCAGTAGCCAGGCAGAAAGTATAGGAGGGCTACCTGATGAGAATTCTAGGAAAAGAGTGCCACCAGGGAGACACCAAGTAAAACACTTAAAGTATTTACCACCCTCCCCCCAAAGCATCACAAAACGTTTATGGCAACTTCTGTATTAAGCAAGTCAATGTATTATTGCAACTTTCACTAATACCTAAGAAGAAGATACAGAAATACCCATGGATACAAACTTTCATGTCCAAAGAGGACATAATAATTTACTTTGAAATTTTTGATTTTTTTCTCTACAGTAGTAACTATGTTCCTTTATGTATATTATCTACCAAAACACAACTTCAGTGGACTAGAAGTATGCATAAGAATCTGGTCAGGACTAGATATTCAACCAGAAGACAGGAACAAGAAAACTGTGTTTTACCTAACCTATTAGAGACATTCTTTGTCTTTACCATGGTGCACAAAGCAAGGAGCTTTGTGTGAAATCACAGCTAACTTGGTTGTTTCGGAAAATGATTGCCCATTCAAGCACAGTATTCATTTTTCCATTGATCACTGTGTATATTCTTGGCAGCATTAATCTTCAGAATATTTTAGAGTTAAGACTAGAGGATGATAATTAATAATTTTCCAATTTACTACATATTACCATTGCAACCAACAAGCAAATTAACTATTTAAATAACACAAAATGGTATTTATGTGTTTTTCCTTTCATGGCCACCTTTTAATTTTACATGATATCCTCTGTTTCAAGGAAAAGAAAAAAAAAAGACTGACATCTTACCAGACCCATGAACAGTCCAAACACCAAAGTGGCAATGACGAAAAAGACGTAAGAACACCATGCAGGAATTCCGAGAGTCACTGTGAAATAGTTGTGAAGGTGCTGCAATCAAAAGGGAAATAAAATGTTTACTTACAGTGCAGGATTATCCAGCTGTAACTCTACTCTACAAGCTGTCTCACCACATATGTGCCTCAAGTTTATACTCAATGATTACTAATGAACAAGTCAAGCTTGATTGCATTAAAAACAGAAATTATTAAAATCATATTCAGTAAGACATGCTTTAGAACTCAAGATCTTGATTGAGGTCTGGTCAAATTGCTTTGACAGTTCTTTCTTCTATTACAGAAGGTTTACTAAGATCCTTAGCCAAATCATTACCTATTCCTCCATATTTAATCCTAACATGACTTATTAAAAAGTGAAACCTTGGGCCCTTATCAGTTTTTGTGTAAAGCTAAGTGATGCCTTGGAGTATGAACCATTTAAAATGTCTCCACACTTACTTTTCCTAATGTTAAACAATGTGTGAATTACAGATAATGACTGTTCATTTATAATTAAAGTCTAGAGGTAGACATGCTGGGCCCATACTTTCTCATGATAAGTCATACTGTTTTAGATCATGAACTACAATCCAATCAACTACTAGGTACAGGATTAAAAGGCTCCAAGTTAGACATTAGCAGCCCACAGAAACAATTACTAAATGATCTTCCCAGAACACAACACACACACACACACACACACACACACATAGAGAGAGAGAGAGAGAGAGAGAGAGAGAGAGAGAGAGAGAGAGAGAGAGAGAGAGACCCAAGTCCAAGTTTCTACTTTAATTTTATAATTCTCGAAATCTAAGTCATTCTTATTAGATTTTTTGGTTATGCTAAGAAATTAAATATTTTTAATCTGGCCTGTTATAAATGAGAAGCATGTAAACAAACAAACAAAAAAATTGTTAATGACCAGTACAATCCAACAATTCAGGAACTCACCACATAGGCTGCATCTCTTGCTGATATAGCTGGCAGCAGAATCCACATACTGATGGTTTTATGGGCATACACTATGCAAAAGCATGAAAGGATCACAGAGGCCAGAGTCTCAGAAAGCTGCCAATGCCAGATAATATGGATTCTCTGCAAGGAGGCCCTAAGAGGCTATTTGTGCAAAGCCATGAAGGTGAAAACTAAGTGGACAGGGAGATCCTGGATTGTTGAGGGTGTAAGAAATGTGGGGCATCAGCCAAGGAAAGTGTGGGTATATAGTGAACAACCCAAGAGAGAGACTATGTATGTTCTAGGCTCACAGTATGGGAGCCCAGATAATGTCAGTGTGCGTACCAAATGCAGGAACTAGAGTTGAAAGGTGTGGTGGTTGTCCTGCTGAATTTGCCTCACTGTGATCAAATCTTTCCTTGCCATGCCACCATTGTACCACTTAGAGAATGCCTTACCATATGCTAAATATTCGTACTTGGATTTTTACTTTATAGCTCATGCTAAGAGATTGCCCTGAATCTTAGAAGAGACTATTGAATTGTAACTTTGAGGACTTTTAAAGTAGGGCTTGTATGTTTTCTGCCATATGGTGACCAGAAGCACAGTATTATGGCTTGAATGAGAAATGTCCCCCACAGGCACATATATTATGAATACTTGGCACACACCTGATGGCACTGTTTTCAGTGGCTGTAAAACTTTAAGGGAAGAGGCATGGTTGATGAAAGTAGGTCAAAAAGGGTAGGCTTAAAAGTTTGAGCCTGGCCTCAGTACTGATACCCCCCCTATAATATTTTTACTAATTCTTTGAGAATTTTACACAATATATTTTGGGCATATTCAACACCTCTCCCTCAATACCCTTCAGGGCTACCCTCACCTACCTACCCACCCAACCTGGTTTCTTTTATCATTCTGTCTTCTAAAAATAAAAATAAAATAAAGTAAAATTTGTTACCCAAATTATTTTGGATGTGGGACCTGCCCTGGTATGTAGCCTCTCACCCTGCATACTGAGATTTTGTCTGGTTTGAGCTTGCCCAAGCTCTATGCATGTAGTCACAGCTATTGTCTGTCAATATGGGCAATTTCCCTACTGTGTCTGGAAAACACTGTTTCCTTATAGTCAGATATCACTGCTAGCTCTCACATCTTTTGGTCCCCTCTTCCTCAATGATCCCCAAGAGGGATATGTTAGATATGTCCCATTTAGGGCTAAGTACTCCATAACCTTCTATTGTCTACACACTGACTAGTTGTGAGTCTTTGTGTTAACTGCCATCCACTGCAAGAAGATTCTCATAAGGATTGAGAGATGTACTAATATTGGATACAGCAATAAACTATTAGGACTTATTTTAACACTGTGCCCTTTAGAAGAACAATAGCAATAAGTTCTCTCCTAGGGCCAATGACATACCTATCCACAGGTTCTTGGCCCCAATAATACTGCCAGGTATGGGGATCTATATCAAGGAGCAGGCCTTAAATTGAATCAGGAAGCAGTTGGTTTTTCCCACAAAACTGGTGGCACTATCCCACCAGTGGATATATATATATAACCAGAATAGTCACTATTGTAGTTCACAAAGTATATAGCTGGGTAAGACAGACAATGAATTTTCTCCTCCAGTGGCATGCATATCACCTTTCTGTTCGATGAAAGCCAGCCAATAGAGATGAATTCTCCATGTTTTGTGACTCAAGTCTGTGGTGTCTTCAGCAGTAGGGCCTTATCATCAAATTTTGGAGAATAACCAAAAGCAATGACAATAGCATGTATGTTGCAGGTCTATGGGATCCCACTGGCCAACAACTCAAAGGGAGGTAACTGGGTTTTTCTTTGTTCAAATATGGTTCTTACTAGGGTATGGTCTCCTTCTTTTAGGGTAACTAACTCAATTTAAACTCTTTTTTCATATGCATGAACATATATTTTAGGATGCTTCCACAGTAGGTTTCCACAAGGCGTTTTTCAAAAGGTCTTTAGTGCTAAGTTATTCCTCCCCACAGTCCCTCCTCTACCCAGACTAACCATCCCCCACCCCATTATATCAGTTTTTCTCTTCACCTCTACAATGTCACTGGCTGGAAAGCCCACAATCACTGCTAGAGCCCTAGTTGCCAGCCTACGCTGCAGTGGAACTGGGAAGTGAAATAAATCCTTCCTTCCTAAAGTTGTTTTGGGAGGGAGGCAGTTTCCAACTTTTACTGTTTTAAGAGGTATTATTCAGCTCTGACTTCAGGTAAAAAAAAAAAAAATGTGTATGGAACAGTTTATGCTTTGCTTGGTGACTCATTGTCATTACTGGGCTTAAGCCTTGAAGTATGCCAAAGAGACAGAGGACACTAAAGGTCACTCAGTCTCTGGGCTGATTCATGGATATATTTTTGAACTTGCTTTATGAATACCTGCTGCTTTACCTTACTCATGAGGCTGGAATGAACAAATTGTGGATGTGAAGTTTAAGTACTTCTGGGTTGTATCATATACCTTTTCTCCAAAACAAATGATTAAAACACTTAAGAAACTTTCTAAGTGAGTTTTTAAGTACAAAAAAAAGTTATTTGCCTCTTAATCACTGCATTCTGGGTCCAACACTGCTTAGTATTTGAAAGCATTATCTTATTTTAGTAAGTTTCACTTCAAATTTCTTGTATAAGCTTATCCTTCAAGGGATCTATTTGAACTTCTAAAAAGATTCTACATTACTGTGGTTTTCTTAAGTAATTAATACTGAAGACTAATGACTAAATAATTACTGAAGACTAAAATAAATGCAATTGTTTTTATAGCCACAGACATAAAATCCCATATGTTTACTTTGCATTAACAATAGCTTCAAAGACCCTTATGAAAGATTGGAGTTGTGGCATATGAAACTACATAGGTAGTCAATTACAAGAGAACCAGTTTAGCTTTAGATTTTTACGTTTCTGTTTGCTTAACCATGTTTCCTCAGATCAAAATACTGATACTTGCTCATTGTTATGTTTTCATTACATAAAAGTATATTACTATTTTACTGAAAATATTTTAAAATGTCAACTGATTATCCTGAACTTTATCTATATTAAGTAATTTACCAGATGACTAAATTAGAACTATTTTGCAAAATACAGATTTGCTATTTGCTACACATAAATTTGCATGAAAGAACAAAGTGAAATAATCATTATATAAAAGAAATAAGGTCATTTCTGAGTGGTCAGATCAAGGCCTCCATGAACTCTAGACATCTAAACAGTTGCATCTAGTAGTGCATGGTCTCAGTCAAAGCTTCAGTAGCCCTGGCAGACAAAGTCTTAGGGTTTGGAGCTAACCCAACCCCTATTAGTATATCAGAGGAGGTGTACTTATGAGGAATTCAGGAAGAAGCCCATGATCCCTTTCACATACATTCCAGAATCCCCTTAATATCTTTCTTCCATGAGAGCAGCCAGCAAGGCTTCTTCAGTGGTAGCCAAGCTTCTTGTCTCCTTTTACAATCTGTCTCTGAATATCTACAAGACCTAATCTAACAGCCTCCTGCAGGCTTCAAGAAAGGGACCTTATGGTTGTACATCATCTCACCATAGCTTGCTATGAACATCTCTGGATATTGTAGTAAATGGAAGAAAAAATGAGAGAAGAGACATCCCCATCTAGATCACAGGAGATCTCTCTCTCTCTCTCTCTCTCTCTCTCTTTCTCTCTCTCTCTCTCTCTCTTTCTCTCTCTCACACACACATACACACACACACACACAGAGAGAGAGAGAGAGAGAGAGAGAGAGAGAGAGAGAGAGAGAGGAGCTGCTACAGAATTTTAAAGCACTGTTATTTAGAACCAGGAAGCAAGTAATTCAAACAAATACATGATAAATCTAGGGTATTAATTTTCTTCTACAGAGAAAGAAATAGATATATTAAAGGCTAATGACATATTAAAACTAAGAAATAAGTAAACATTTGGCCTAAATAATTGTTCTGACACTGAAGTGACTATGTGTCACTATACAAGCACATACAACATGGAGTGTTTTACACTAGTGGGGACAACTCCTGGTTTATGTAATAGCTATACAACTCCATTACTGCAGTGCAACCTAGTCAAGAAACAGCAGACACTATAAGCATGGCTGCTTAAAGAAAGCTTTGTTTATAAAACCACACTCCTCTCAAGCTACAGTTTGCTGCTTCCAGACACTCAAAATGACTTTCATGCCTGCCTAGACAATCTTTGATCTATAAAGAGATTTTCCAAGGGAAAAATGAGACAAAATAAAACCACATCACATAAGCCTTTTTGCTTTTATAAGGACCTCATCACCAATCTAATAAAATTATGACTCTAAGATAGTTGCTATGGGTACCTCTTCAAATTACATTTTTCTATAAACACATATCACTATGATGAACCAAAAATGAGAATAGTTTCATGGCTCAAGGAAAGCAGAATTATAAAAGTACTTGTAAATTTTCATTTTCCTATTATTTAAAAGCTATGTTCTATCCTTTAAAAAAAAATCTACCTTCAAATTTAGTAATGTTTAAAAGTACTCACCCAAATCTTGCCAGAGATGCTAAAAAGACCAGCCATTCCAGACATTCTAAGAAAGAAAGGAAGAGCTCTGGTCACACACAGTCAAAACCAAGCAAAGCTCATGCCAGGGCCATAACTTCACTGAGCCTATACTCCTTGCTCTCTCTCATCCATTCACTTCAATTCTCCAAAAGGCGAGACTTCATGGTCATTTTCTGGACCACTGTGCTGTAAACATATTTCAAATCCTTGGCCCCTTATCCCTTCATCATACAAAAATCTATAACTATGAACAAACTATGTAGAAAGACAACATATCCTGGTGACTTCTACAAGTGAACACTCAACACTGTCCAATCTCTTTCAGGATGTAACTGCCGTAGTTGCTCATTTGCTTTTTCCTTTCTTTCAGTCCTACACATCCTCCCTCAACAAGCACCAACACTGTGAAATCAGAAGCCATTATGCAATCACTCTCATCTTCCTACCACCAAATTTGAGTCTGATGTATATACCATATCACCTTGTAGCAACAGCAAAGTCTACCTGATCTAACATAGGCCAATTTATCAGTCTGTGACTTGGATCTTAACCCTCTGTCCTGTTGATGACATGATTCTGCCATCCCTTCTTCCTGCATTAGCAATTATCCTACCTCTCCCCATCAGTCTCTTTAGCATGAAGTCACACTCACCTCCATCTTTTGAAGTGAGCAACTCCGCTCCTCACATGGCTCTCAAGCTTCAGAACAAATTTTCTAAAGAGAAATTTGTCTTGCAGTTTCTTCAGTAGTATGTCCTGAAACTATTTAAATCTGGCTACACTGTAATCATTTGACAATGCTAACAATGTCACCCTGCTGTAGTCTATGTCCTTTCCAGTGTATCTTTCTGTGCCTCCTGGCATCATGGGACACAAGTAACTACTGTTTATTTCATTAGCATCTTTTATTTAGTTTCTAAAAAAATGTTTCACCCTTGCTTTTCCTTACTGGCACTAATTTTTCAATTTTCTTTATTAATGTTAATTACATGCACTTATTGTATGCGTAAATACAAAGTTGGGCTACATGTTGTGGTCACAGGAAAACTTGCTGAGTCAATGCTCTCCTTCCACTAGGTGGGAACCTGAGATCAAACTCAGATCATCAAGCTTGTTGACAAGTATCTTTACTTCCTGTGTAATCTCACTGGTCCTCAATTTTTCTTTTAATGACTTGCCTATTACTTAACTTCTTTTTCTTTTTTGTTATTGTTTCCAAGTAAAAGTTTATTTTAATGGAAAATGTAGAAAAAAGTCCTTCATGCCTGTTCCCCAAATTGATAAGCATTAGCAATTTATCAAACATTTGATGGTGCTAAAGAGAGTCAATCCCTGATGGCAGAATTCTCCTGAAAGCTTTGATATATGCATTTTATAATTGTTTTTCAATTCCAAATATAAATCTCTATGCATTCTTGTTTATATCCTAGTACCCTGCATACATTACATATGTATAACACAGTTAAAAATAATTCACGTTTTATCTCTTTTTATTCACTTAGTTTCCAGTTTAGAATAATAAATACAAATTCAGTTTATTACTATTAATATATATGTCAAAAGGTTTCTAAGTTTATCAAACCTTATTTTACAAATAAGTACTGAACTTCTTAACTTTGAGGTGGGTCATAGATTTATGACAAAGACACTATTCTTTTACTTCTTAGATGTTCCCTTTCATTCTAAGGCTTAAACTCTAAAGTTTTCTACAATTATGTTCATTAGCTCTCCATACAAACCACCTAGACACACTCAGCTTATAGCTTTGCAAAGTCTAAACCTCTAACAAGGCTAACAATCTTTTTCCTTTTTAATATTTTAATTAATTCTTTGAGTATTGAACAAAATAAATTTTGATCATATTCACCCCCAAGTCTTACTAGATCCATCCCATCTCTCTGCTGTCCCCTTGCTTCATGTCTTTCTCTTTTCTTTTCTTATAACCCATCAACTCCCATTTGTGCTAGCCATATACTTCTGGGTGCAGGGCCATCCACTGGAGTGTGTTACACTCACCAGGAGTCACACCCTTAAGGAAAACTGACTCCTTCAGATCCAGCAACATCATAGCTCAGTTCTGGGTGGGGCTCATGAATCTCTTCCCCTTCGTGCTAGAAGAATGTTGACTGAAAGCCATGATCTTGATTTTTAACATCCCTAAGCTATCTCACAGAGTTTCTTCTTTTTAATATTTTCATTAAAATCTAATTGCATCACTTCCCCCTTCCCTTCCTTCTCTCCAATCCATAAAATGCCACCCTTACTTCCTCTGAAACTTATGGCCTCTTTCTTTCATTTGTTTTGTTTTTTTGTAGTGGTGGTGAGTTTTTTGTTTGTTTTTTGTTTTATTTTGTTTTGTTTTGGCTGTCTACCAGAATCTTGATGTAGGAGATAACAAGGTCCATGAAGTATTTAACAGGAATCCCAGAGAGCATCTTCTTGTAAATGTTCCTCCTCATGTTGACCAATTCTATCTTCAAAATTAACTTCATATCTACTCAATTTTTTTTTCCATCTCCACCACTGATACCCTGGTACAAGCTGCTTTTCTTAGACTGACTGGATACCGTGAAAACCTTCTAGCTTTTCTCTCCTTACATATTCTTGTCTTTTCTAACCTCTCCTCATAAGAGTCAATTTCTTTTAGCATGTACTTTTATATAAAAAAAAAAAAATCCCCTGCTGACTATGGTCACAGGTCCTGTACAATCTATCTTCAGCCTACCGTTTATTCAACTTAGGCTCTGTTCCTTCCTTTCACAGTGCTCCACTATGACACTATACTGCTCCATGAACACTCAATAAAGCTCTTTCCCAAATTGAGACTTCTGTGTAGGGTACAGTCACCCTGTGATTATGGTAGCCCTAGTCTTATCTGGGCCACAGTTTCTCCTATCGTGAAAATCCCACCCAATTTTCCTTCAAAGCAACCTCTCTTAACACTTCCGCAAGGTAGGTCCAAGACCCAAGTTTTTCCAGTCCAATATATATAATATGTATATATATTGTTGCTTTTAACAGCTCTATCCAAATGATCTCTCTAGTTTGTTTTGCAATCTGTCTTACTCGCTTTAAGTTACCAAACAAAGGGAGTGGAGACAGCAAGCTTGTCTAATGAAGTCATGAATACCTGGCTCCTAGAACAATATCTAGCATAAAAATCAGTATTCAGTTATTTCAAGAATGAAATGCCAGAGGTGAGCTACTTTTAGGATAAGCTCCATATTGCCTGGGCACTAACACAGGTGCATGTATTAGATGAAATATTAGATTACATTGCTCCTATGGTAGGTAATAAGGGCATTTCTTACATCTGTATTTGCAAAATAAAACTACTTACTGATATGGCCATTCAAAATTAAAGCCAAATGTGCAATGAGTTATTACAGTTCAGCCTTATCTACCTTACAAAATATTATCAAAGCTATCCCCCAAAACATAGTGCCAATAGCAAAAAACACGGCCAATTATATTTTCAATGTAAAATACAAGAATCCTCGAGTGGTCAGTAATTAAGGAAACATCTGTCCTTCCAGTTAATGGCAGCCAGCAGTCAATACATTGATAAAGAGGAAACAGTTGGCATGGCATGCTGCAAAAGCTGGAGGAGCAGTTTTCTGTTAAAACGTCCCTCCAAAATAGCCATTCAATTCCCACTACACGAAAACCACTTGCAGTACATGTGGGTCACAAAATCAGAAACATTAGGTAGACCAAACACAGGCATAGTCAGTCTAGATAAGAGAAAGGAATATGAAGAAAAGTCTAAACTTGTAAGGTCTTCACACTAACATGAACCTATTACTTTACATATAGGACTTTATTGATAACTTACGTTAGAGAAGCTGGAGACTTCCAGCCAGTCAGAGGCTCAACTGATTGCCATTTCTTCTCTAAGATGTAATTCTGTAAGTCTTCATAGATTCCTGGACCACGATAACGGCGGAATATCCCATCTTTTGCACTATAGGTTATAAAATCAAGTAGAAATTAGATAAATCAAGATAGGTATTATGTAATAATGATCAAAATAACTATTGATCACACATATAAACTCTGCTTTAATTTTAAATTAATGCAAAAAAACTGTAGCCAGACATAAACAAGAGGGCATGTGTTATTAATTCTAACCTAACATAAATGGGGAATTCTAAAACTCAAAGCATTAAATATTCTCTTTCATCACTGTATGATCTGTAACTACAAGCTAAATTTCCAGCAATATTTAATCAGCCAACTCACCAGCGTGTTTACAACCAATTATTTTTATTTCTTCTAGCAAAATAACTATGTTATCACATTAACAAATAATGCATCCACATTTCCAAACTGATGTCCTCCAAGTCTCTAAGCTAATGATCAACACCAAAGTACACACCTCACATCCACCTCTAAGCCTTCCTTTTCTCACATTCTCAGGCCAGATAGGAGTCACAGAAGAGTCTACACATTCCCTTTTGTTGTCTTCATTCCTAATGCACTACTGTGTGAAAATGGGAGTCCTGTTCCCATGACTCTATTGAGCCTGCTTGGCCTGTATCCTGAATGACCCCCAAGTCTATGACAATGGAACATTTTTCTGCCACTTTCCCTTCACCTCTCATTAGCACAGTTCACCACCACTTACTTGACCTATCCCCTCACAGTGCTGAATTCTAATCTTCATAAGATCATAAAATGAATAAAGCTTACTGAAAAAATGCTGGGAGAGTGGTGACAAAGAAGCGGCCGCTCAAACCTAGGAAAAGCATAAACAAAAACAGTTAAAATTTAAGTAACTCAAGTACCCAAGTGCTGAGAAAAAGCATCCTCAGACTGCTGTCATGATCATATGAATAAACATCACTGGAATTACTAAATTACATTCATTTATTATCTTCTAACTTAAGGGAAAAAAACTTTAGTCACTTTCACTTTCTAATACTTTCTAATCACTGACACACACAACCGTATGTTTCAGGCGTTACCCTAGAATTTTCTGGATTATTTATTACTTGGTGTGGTAGTCTGAAAAAAAAAATGGCCCCCAAATGGAGTGGCACTATTAGGAGGTGTGGTTTTGTTGGAGGAAGTGTGTCACTGTGGGGGCAGGCTATGAGGTCTCTTTTCTCAAGCTTTACTCAATGTGATAACTTACTGTTGCCTCTAAGTCAAGATGCAAGACTCTCAGCACCAGCACCATGTCTGCCTACATGCTGCCATGTTTCCCATCATGATAAAAATGGACTGGACCTCTGAAACTAAAAGCAAGCCACTTCAATTAAATGTTTTCTTTATTAGAGTTGCTGTGGTCACAGTGTTTTTTCACAGCAATAAAAATCCAACTAAGCTGGGTGGTGACGGTGCACGCCTTTAGTCCCACCAATCGGGAGGTAGAGACAGGTGGATCTCTGTCAGTTTGAGGCCAGCCTGGTCTACAAAGCGAGTTCCAGGACAGGCTCCAAAGCTACACAGAGAAACCCTGTCTCAAAAAGCCACAAAAAAAAAGAAAAAACAAAACAAAACAAAAGACCCTCAACTAAGACACTTGAGATTGTATGCAAGCTAAAAGAATATATTACAAAGCAATAAGATCTAAATTTATGCCTGGAGTGCTAGGACCCAGATGCTGAATGGCCCAGAGACACAAGATAGAACCAAACACAATTAGAGGGAAAAAATGTCAACATAATGATGCCTAACTATACTCTACTATGCTCATGGATTGTTGACTACACCAATTGTCATCAGAGAGCTTTCATCCGGTAACTGATGGGAACAAATGCAGGGACCCACAGCCAAACATTGGGGGGAGTTTGGAGAATCTTGCTGAACAGAGGGAAGGATTGTATGAGCCAAAGGGGTCAAGGATATCACAAGGTAACCCACAGCAACAACTGAACTGGGTTCATAGGGGCACAGAGGACAACATATGCAAGAGGAGCCCCAGTAGGGGCTCATTAACAATGGTACAGCAGAGGCCAGAGACCTCCAACCAGGCCAAAGACTAATGACAAGGAACAGTTACAAGTGAAGATGAAAGAACTAAGGGGTAAAACTCTGTGAGTCAACCAGCCACACTATAACTTCCAGGATGAGATTCTTCTTTCTTTGTGTGTTGGTTGTTTTGACTTTTTGTTTTTGTTTTTGTTTGCTTTGTTTGGTTTTTGGTCTTTCTTTTAAATTTTGTTTTGTTTTGAGGAGGTTGCAAACTTGCAGGGCAGATGGGGAGGCAGGGAGTGGGGTGGGATCAGGATGCAAGATGTGAAATCCGAAAAGAATCAATAAAGTTTTAAAAAAAGAAAGAAAGAAAGGAAAAATGCAAGAAGATAGGTACATGTAGTTGCCAGCAGGACATTTTGAGAATCTGGAAGGGAAGGGAAAATGGAGGGTGGATGTGATGTTTCACTATATAAATATATTAAAGTCTCTATGAATACATTTTTAAAAGTAAAAAGAACATTTAAAAATAAAAGTAATTTGAAATATAAGCCAGGCCTAGTAAGGCATGCTGTTAATCCCTGCACTGCAAATTTGAGGAATGCTAAGTCTATACACCAAACTCCATGCCAGTCAAAGCTACAGTGATACCCCACCTCATAAAAATGTAAAATGTACAAAAATATAAAAACACCTGGACTATTCCATTCCACTAATATTTTACAAAGACTTAATATCCTAATTGTTTTATATATGTAATATTATGTTATATATATAAATATATATAATTTTGTATATTTCTAAATTTCCAAGTATTGTACATGAATCATACTTTTTTGTTTTAGAAAATCTTTACTGAACATGAAGTACATGTCAAATGCCATGCTATCCATATGTAAAGGTAAATAAAGTAAAAGTGTCCTTCATCAGCACGCAGTTCCTAAAAGGCTTCTTTGTTTGAGGAACTGTGGTAGTTACTAGATATAACTGGATGAAGAGTGCAGGCAGTGTTCTCATAGAGCACATAGGGAAAGAGTTTTATTGATCAAAACCATTGCCTCAGAGAGACATCATACAAAAAACAGCAAACAGCAAACCGGACTCACAATGACTGCAAAATAAATGTAGTCTGCCCAATAAATGTAATTTGCAAATCAATTATATTTGGCACGGTACCTGTACTAAGTGGAGAGAAAGAACATAGCATGAAAAAATTAATACACATCCTTTTAACACTTAATATTTCTGTCTTCTTTCTTGCTGAATATGGACAAAATCAAATATCTATGCAAATTAAGGGGTTCAAATTTTAAATCTCTTGGGTCATTTGAAATTTGATACACTGAAGCTTTGCTTTTAATAACATGAACAATCTGCTTTGCCATTTTTATAAAAGCAATCTATCCAGGCATTGGTGGCAATGCCTTTAATCCCAGCACTCGGGAGGCAGAGGCAGGTGGATCTCTGTAAATTCAAGGCCAGCCTGGTCTCCAGAGTGAGTGCCAGGATAGGCACCAAAGCTACACAGAGAAACCCTGTCTCAAAAAACCAAAAAAAAAAGCAATCTATATTTACATAATACTTATGATTATCTCTGCTGAGCTTGCTGACTATTCAGTTATTCGGTTTCTCTCACAGAATGAGGGGTGTGATATCCAGGCAATCCTCCCAATTAGTTGTATAGAATTCTGCCCTAATTGCGTGTTGCCTTAGGGAAGGCCTAGAGCATACAGGCAGGAAAGGACTAAGGAAACAGACTCTATTACACAGCCATGAGTGAGTCACCATCCTTGCAGTGGGTATAACTTCTAGTGTGGCTGCTTTAGGATCATCTATACTCCTGCCTGTAATCCTTCACCCACTGCTCTGTAAGCAAGCCTTATATTAGTTCCCCCTAGGTAAACTTACATATAATTAAACTTTAATTAGTCATCGGAATCTTACAAGGCAATGAGGGGTAGAAGTTTCCTAGTCCCACCAAGGTGAAAATTCTGACACACAGATGTAGTCAGTAGACTATAACCAAATCAGAATTGAATTTGGGAAGAAGAACACTACTGTTCCTGTTAGGGGTAGTAAGATGGGCAGCTGAATCTACAGTGTTGAAAGGTTGGAGCATTTAGAGAGAGTGTGCATGACCCTTCCTCTTCCTTATTTGAGATTACCCCTGAACACCAAAGCCAAGTCCTAAGACTCTGAAACTATTGGCAAAAATGAATTCCCATTACAACAACCCTAACACTTACTCTATACCTAACTCTAACCACAACCATAACCCTAAATCCAACACTAACACAAACCAAATTCCAATTTTAACCCCAACTCTAACTCTAACCCTAACCCCAACCCTAACCCCAACACTAACCCTAACCCCAACACTAACCCTAACCCAACCCTAACCCCAACACTAACCCTAACCCCAACCTTAACCCTAACCCCAACCCTAATCCTAACCCTACCCTAACACTGACCCTAATTCCAACCCCAACCCTACCACTAACTCCAACCCTAACCCTAATAGTTTTCCTGCTTCCTTGAATCTTTCCTCCAAGAGGAAATACCTGGAGGGCTTTCAACATTTCTTCTGTTTCCCTCTCAAGGTGCATGCCCCAGAACTAAACTGGAGGTCATAGACTGCTTCCCTAACCCCAATCCTAGTTAGGGTTGAAATTAGGGTTATAGTTAGTTAGGGTTGAAGTGAGGGTTAGGATTAGGACAAAACTTCTCTTGGCATGTAAGTTCTAGGTCACCCTGGACAGCACAGTGAGACCCTTTCTCAGAATTAAAAAGTGAAGTTTAACAAGAGGGCTGGAGATACAGCTCATGGCGGTGCTGTATCTAGCATGAGCACAGCTCTGGGTTCAATCTCCAACACCACTCTCCTCTGCCACCATCCCCAAACAGAAAAAAATTGCAAAAGAGGTACACACATAAACCTGCAAACAGAAAACATAAAGTTTGGCTGCATATCTTTTCTACTGACCTTTCACTTTAAAATACAACTGCAGCACTACATAAAAAAGACATCTTTTTATGTGTGGCAGTTTCAAGTTATTAGTTTTTGTCAGGCGGTGGTGGCGCACACCTTTAATTCCAGCACTTGGGAGGCAGAGGTAGGCGGATCTCTCTGAGTTCAAGACCAGCCTGGTCTACAAGAACTAGTTCCAGGACAGCTTCCAAAGCCACAGAGAAAGCCTGTCT